GAGAGAGAGAGAGAGAGAGAGAGAGAGAGAGAGAGAGAGAGAGAGAGAGAGAGAGAGAGAGATCCTATAGGCTCACCCCAGAGATGAGTTTGGTCACATTCAACACATTGCACCTTATTGAACATCTTGAAGTATTCAGAATCCAGTGGTTTTCTGTAAAGGTCCAGATGTACATGGCCAGGTGCCTCGCTCACAGTTTTTAAACCCATTTTATGGAGGATTTAATCCATCTTTGGAATCACTGACTTTGGAATGCATTCCTAGAAAGGCCAACTGAGATGATAAAAAACAGGTCCAAAGATGATGTTCAAAGATGCTATTTATGGGTTGGCAGAAAGAGGCTGAGGAGAGAGGGACTTGGGGTTGCTTTGTGGAGTCGTTTCAATGTGTCCTGTTCTAGAGCACAAGGGAACTCTTGAAATTTCATAATCATAGGATCTTTTTATTCATTTCCCAAAGAGCATGTTTTTGAGTCAGTGTATAATATAGCTATTTGTTCTCTTGAACACATCTTAGGGATGAAAAAGGAGTTAGGAAAATGAGCCCATTGTTTTTTAAAATTAGTGACAAACTTCAAAATAATTCCAAACAAACCTCAAATAAAACATTCTCCCCCTACTGTGAATCCCATTTAAGCTGTTTGGGTCAGTCTGTTTTAATGAGCCTCATTCATGCTGACACGTCCACACACTTCAGACAAAGACAACTGTACCTCTAAACCCATTTGAAAGTGATGGATGACTGTCAGCTTTGTGAGCCGAGCATGTGGTGGCTTGATAGCACAGTGAAAGCAATCGCCAAGTGTGAGTCTGTTTCTTTTGGCAACGGAAGGGGTTGCTAATGGATTCATCATTTTCTGTTAAGCATGAATGTCAAACAAAAAAACATTTAGGGCTCTATTCAGCAGAGTTTCCGGCTTGATGCTTGCCAGCCATGGAGGCCCTGTGACTTGGAACCCGCACAGCCCAAGCCTGATTTTTATTTTCCAAGTTCTGTGGAGCTAGAGCCCCAGTACCTGGAATTCTGCCAATGGCTCCTTCCTCCTCCTCTTCCTCCTCCTGCCCCTCCTCCTCCTGCTCTTCTTCCCCCTCCTCTCCACTCCTTCTCTTCCTTTGCCTCCTGTTTCCCCTCCCCTTCTCCCTTCCTCCTCCTTCCTTCCTCCTGCTCCTCTTCCTCTCCTTCCCTTCTTCCTTCTCCTGCTCCTCCCCTCCCTTACCCCCACTCCTTCTGCGCCCTTTACACCCCCTCTCGTTTTTCCTCCTCCTCTCCCTCCTCCTTTTCCTCTTCCCTTCCTGTCTCCAGCTCCCCTCTTCTCTAACATATGACATCACCGTCCATGCTGCTGAGATGAACGGCGTCTCTGGAACAGAGCTTGAGGCCAGCTCTCATGCCGTCACCCACTCCACCTCAGAAGCACACAGGATGTCCACTCATGGAGCGGGGGCTGGGTAAGCACTGGGCATATGCCCCATGGAGCTTGCATCTTGGAGCTGACTGAATGGAGTAGGCACTGCCCATTTTTTACCTCGGAATCATAAACAAGCAATATGCTCTGAACTTGTTCTATACACAGAAAATGAACACAAAAAGTAGATGCTGAGGTACCCAGGCTTTTGAAATGTTATGTTGTTCTCTGAATGGAACATGAGAGGGATTGAGGGAAACGCTGGCTTTGCCACACAGCTCTGATTGTGTCATTGACCACAGAAGAACCTCCTTTTGTCAGAGAATGGCTTCTTCAACCACGTCCACAGTGGACAGAGGTAGGAGCTGAGCCCAGACAGAGGGAGCACTGACCCACTGGCCGAGCAGTGGTGAACTGTGACTTAGATCCTGGAGTCACTGCGGGGCTGGCATGGGTCTTGGGACCAGCTGTGACATCTTGGACAAGTTTCTAATGGCCTCGGTGCCTTAGTTTTTGAAGATTGTTCTTTTGGAGGTCAAATGAAATAAAACAACGTCAATAGTCTAAATTATAAACTATAACACAATAGATAATTAACTGAATTATTTCAATTAGTAAAACGAAATAATAATGAAAGTCAGGAGGCTGTGTGATGTGCAAGAGCTCAGAACATCAAGCATTATTGACGCCCCCTTGCTTCTCTGCTAATCAAGGTGGCCACGCTGCCTTTCCGGGCTCAGCGCCTACTCTACTCACTGTGGATGTGGTTGAAGAAGCTGTGCTCCCACAGAAGGGGGCTCTTCAGTGGTCACTGATATAAAAAGAGCTAGATCTTCTGTCTTTAGTGCCCACAGTGCTGCAGTTATAGGCAACTGTCCATCGCACATGGCTTTTGAAGTGGGTGCTCCATTCCAAACTCCGGTCGTCAGATTTGCACAGCACGAATTCTCCCTTTGAGCCACTCCTCAAACTGGAAGTTCATGCTCTACTTGGGAACTAGTGATTCGACAAAGGTAAATGGATTTAGGCACAGAGTTGGTACCTGTGCACTAAGAAGGGAAATGGGATATAAAGAAGGCCCACTTTAACCTCTTTGTGGGTGTGGCTTGTGCGTCTCTTATCTCTAACTCTCAGTGATATTTGGAGGAAAATTAAAGTAAGTTGTGAAATGTTGCCAGTGCCTTGTAAATGACAGGACTACAAGTGATTTAATGTGACAATTATATTTATGCCTTAGCTTAGGGAGTGAAGCTAGACATTGAAAAGGTAAAAATAATGGTCTTATTTGAAGACACACCATCTAAACTATCAAATGACACCTCCCTTTGGAAGCTTTCTCAACCACCTACATGGAGTCAATCATGATTTCTCTCATTTGTTTGCATGTTTATAACACTCCCATATGTACTGTGACCAGGCTCTTTCAATTCAACATCTCGACAGTGACTAATGCTCTTAAGAACTCAGCAAATATCTGTTTAATTTAGTAGACTCGTATCTGGAAAATAGAGAAAGTTGTTCAACTGCATCAAGACTTGTTCTACCTAGCTGTCAATCCTGCTGATTTAGTTGCTGCTCATATGATGTTTTCATCAAATTAAGTAACATTTTGCTAACTCATTTTGCTAAGTTTTACATGCCTTTATCTCTCAAAATGTAACTGGACTCGGCAGAGAATGTTCTACACATTCATTACATTGCATCAGGGGAGCTGCATCCCAGATGTCGGTTTAACCTGAAGAAATGGCCAGATCCCATTCCACGTGGCTGATTTCAATGAGGAATTTTCAGAATGATGAGGCCAGATTTAGCTGGGAGCAATTATTGGCACATTTCACATGAGCTCAGCATGAAGAATAAAACTGAAGTAAGATTAAGTCTCAAATAGTAAGGGAGAGGGGGAAAGATGAAAAGAGAGGCCAAAAGGGTTTGAAAAGCAGGAAAGGCCCAGTTATCTGCAGGAAGCTAGTGTTCTTGTGTGAGATGTGTGCCACCCAGCCTGGGTTAGAATGTTATCTCTATGTGATCTGCAGAATTTTCCTCTTGACTCTGGCAACTGCAGAAGCGTGAATTAAAGTCTTAAGGAGAAAAATCAATAAGAGGGAAGAAAAGATAAAAAGCAATAAGACTAGAGAGCATTTCAAAAACCAAGTAGAAGTCTCAGAAATGGCCATGAAGGACCAACCAGTATTTATAAGGGTTTAACAGGAATCCCAATGGGAACAGATTTGTGGGTCACCCTAGGGGAACTGAAAGGCTTCTGTGTGGTTTATGGCATTACCTGGCTTTTCACTCCAGTGTGTGGCAGATGGGAACAGTGACTGTCTGAAGAACTGTACGAAGCCAAATCTGGTTGCCAGGCACCTTGATGGCAAGAATTTTATTGGGAAGGAATTTTGAGAGCACTGGGGCAGTGCTGCGGGTGAAGTTTCCGAGGAAACCCCACGCTACTGCTTCTATTTTATGTCTAAGCTGGAAATTTCTTTGAACCTTAAGTCAGAAATAGAGGACACAGTCATTTAGTCCCAATAACAACAATGCTTCCTTTACTTTAGATTTAAAAACCTGTAAATGATTTCTTCTTGGATTATCATATATGGAATTCATTCCAAAGCCAGCCATCTTCTATTTAAATGGGAAGGCAGGGGAAATAAGAGTGAAAACATCAGTGAAAAGGGGGTGGGCCCTTTGGAGAAAATGGATGGAGGGTGTTCCTACTGGTCCTGCCATGTTAAGTAAATTCCAGAGTTGAGGAATCTAGATTTCAGGACATTAACAGTAAAGGAAGTATGCTATGGGATAATGCTTTTGTACACTGTAAGATTCGTCACTCAGACTGACCAGTAGCCAGTCAGGAAGTACAGGCGGGGCAACCAGACTAGAAGAATTCTGGGAAGAGGAAGGACGAAGTCAGGAGTCACCAGCCAGGCACAGAGGAAGCAAGATGAGAATGCCGCATTGAGGAAAGGCACCAAGCCACGTGGCTAAACATGGGTAAGAGTTAGGGGTTAATTTCAGTGTAAGAGCTAGTTACTAGTAAGTCTGAGTTACTGTACATTTTTAAGTACTAGTAAGCCTCCGAGTCAGTTATTTAAGAAGTGCCTGCTGGGTATTTGGGAACAGGCAGGTGGGAGAGAAACTTCCACCTACAGAAGTAGCTATGACCTTCCCCTCCAGGATCCATGCTGGGAGAACATTTGACACCACATGCATCTAACCATGAGTTGATTCATCTGTCAGTTCTGTCCTGAGTTTTCATAGTGCCTTACCTGCTCTTACTATGGAAAAACATTCGAAGTGAAAATCTGGTCATACAACCATGAATATTCCTAAGCAGGAAGGAAAATGGAATGTGTGTTATGATGAAAGTTCAGTGTGAAGCTTGACAGACTCCAGGGTCTAGAAATCACTCATGTGGTAGAAATGTATGCACCCATCATACCACTAAAGGACAGCTGAGAATCCAAAGCATAGGGGAGGGAGGACGTGATCAGGGAAGGGGGCTTTGGTTCTGACAGGTTGAGTAAGGTTGGCTCCCTCTAATGCCACAGGAAGAACTGTGGGTGCCAGTACCAGGGCTGCTGAATAAGGGGGCTCTTGAGCATCTGACTGTGCCCAGCAGAAATGGGGAGGAACACAGATAATGCATTCTTTTCCCGCTTTCATCCCAGTGCACTGTGCATTGTGTACTCAGACCCTCACCTCAAGGCTATTCCTACTCCAGGCATTCAGCGACCACAACTGGCCATCTGTGTAGTCCGCCTACTGAGCCAGTGCCTTTCTGGTGGCCTCTGAGCCCCTGTCTTCTTCTCTGCATGAAATCTGGTGTCAACAACCCATCTGTCCAGAATGAGCATCTGCACTGCTTTGCCCAGCCCCACCTCCAGAGCAATGAGCATTCTACTCTTTCTTTGTCGGCTCCTGGGGCAAAGCCCTTCATTTATATTGCCTCCAATTTTCCCCACCACCTACAAGGCTGTTATTCACACTCACAAGAGGAATCCAGGGCTCAGTGGAATGAGCTGTACAATGAATCCAAAGCCATGAAACTCATGAAGATGAGATAAAATACAAACTCATCTCTCTATCTCTTTCCTTCCCTCTCTTCTAGTCCCACAGTTCTTCACTAGGAGACGTGGGTAACAGATAGCCAAGTATCCCTTGCAGGCTCTGGATTGGCATATTTTCCTCCTTGCTCCTGGGAGGTGGCACACCTGAGCTCACACGGATGATCATCTCGCCTCTGTGCCAAGCACCTTGGATAGAACACCCCCCCCACGCCCCCCATGACCGGACAGGCCTGAGAAGGCCTGCCCTCAGTGTGCACCCTTACCTGGAGGTTCCTCCAGATCTACCTGCTTTCCGCAGCCAGGCTAATTTCACATGAAGACAACAGGCATGCCTACCCAGATTCTGTAATATAGCTTCTTCGCTTAAAAATCCCCTAGAAAACTGAGACGTTCTTTTTGAATTATTTTTAAAAATTGTGCTTTGGCCCAGGTGACCAGAGCTTAGGGAAAGTCCGTTGGTTTCTGATGTTAATGTGTGAACCTAATTCTAAGTCTTCATTTACTCATCTGAAAAAAAAAATAGGACCAGTAAGAAACCTTTTGAGATTGCTGAAGGGGTTAAATGGGTTAACTGATGCTAATCCTTCAGAGAATGTAACACAAATCTGCTGGACACAGGGTGACTCCCGCCACCATCCCTGTCGCCATTGTCATCATCAGAACCATAGCATCAAGACAAGGAAAGTCTGCGGAGTGGTGAGAAGTCCCCTCTGACCTGGCCTGGACCAGAGGGGCAGGGGGTGGGGCTGAGTGTTCAACAGGCCTGCATCGTGTTGCCTGCTCACTCACTAGCTCCTTTCCTCCCATTGCGTGCCTGGATGTGCGTATGCATACAGAAGGGTAGACGACAACCTCAGCTGCCATTCCTTAGGTGCCATTCACCTTGTTGTTTGAGACAGGGTCTCTCATTGGCCTGAAAGTCACTAAATAGGCTGAGTCGGCAAGTTAGTAACCCCAAAGTCTGTCTCCACCT